CAATTTGACGTTAGGGCTAGAAATATTATTTCATCTGCTTTAACCCTTAACGAGTTTTACAGGATCTCCGTTTGTAAAAATGCTCAAGAGATGTGGGAAATGCTAAGAGTGACCCACGAAGGTACCGACAATGTTAAGAGAGCATGGAAAAATTCTCTAATCCAAGAATATGAGATGTTCCGAATGCAACAAGGCGAAACGATATTTGACGTTCAAAAGCGTTTCACACACATTGTGAACCATCTCATCGGATTAGGTAAAATTTCTGACGTTGATGAATTAAATGTTAAAATCTTGAAATCTTTGGATAGGAAATGGCAACCTAAGGTGACGGCCATCTCGGAGTCACAAAACCTTGTCACAATGTCTATGGCGACGCTCTTTGGAAAGTTGAGAGAGCATGAGTTTGAGCTTGGAAGGCTAAATGATGAGGAAGGACAATATCAAAAGAAGAAATTAGCCTTCAAAACTGAAATTTTCAAAGGTAAGAGTAAAAAGGAAGAAGAAGACTCAGAGAATGAAGAAGAAGAATTGAGTCTTATGATAAAGAAGTTTACCAAATTCCTTTGTGGATGAAACAACAACTAGAAGATTATAGTATATTTTTAAATGACATTCCTTTGATGTGTGATAATACAAGTGCAATCAATCTTACTAAGAATTCAGTAATGCACTCTAGGACTAAACATATAGAAATTAGACATCATTTCTTGAGAGATCATATAAGTAAAGGAAATTGTAAAATTGAGTATATTGATACAAAGCATCAATTAGCAGATATTTTTACTAAGCCTCTTCCCAAGGATAGATTCTATGATCTTAGAAGAGACTTAGGGATATTAGAAATAACCTAAATTCTGCTTAATTAAACAGTTTTTGGATGGTTGTAATGTTATAATCTGTTATGTAGGGTGTTAATAAATTATCATGTGTCTAAACCTCAAAAATTTGATGAACTCTTTGGAATAATCGATTATTTGGAGTTATAATCGATTATTTGCACCCAAGATGTCCAAAATATTACATTTCTCACTGGATTAATCGATTAACTCATTAGATAATCGATTAAATACAGTGTTAATCGATTAACTGCTTGAATTAATCGATTAAAGGGGTCTGTTACTGGTTTAATCAATTAATTCAAGCTTTAATCGATTAAACCTGGTTGTTTTCGTTTTCTAGCCGTTGTCAACGACTATCTTGGCCCCCATACACTTCCAAATGACCGTTGGAGATGTTTGGTTATAAATAGGAACCTCCATTTCACTTCTCCACACTTCTCACTCTTGAATCCAAGCTTTCTTGCTTAATTCTATCATTCTTGTCTTCTTCTAACATCATTTGTCTTCCTAATCTTTCTTATTACTCGTCTAATTCTACAATGGCCTCATCTTCTCGTGCTAAAATTCCCACCAGAAGAAGATTTGCACCTTCATCTCATCCACGTCCTAATTTTGTAGAAGGATGGATCTCTGATGCTGAGGGCCGACAGGAATTTCTGACTTTTTGGAAGGAACAAGGTATTATCACTCCCAAATTCCTTATTGGTGATCAATTCATCAATAGGGGATTTAATTTTCCTAATCTTCTTGAAATTCAAGGACTTCTCCCTTTTATCCAAATGCAAGGTACATACTATCCTGACTTAGTTAGGGTATTTTACTCTCGCTTTAAATTTAGAGATCAAGTAGTTACCTCTCATGTTAAGGGAGTATCCATTATTCTTGATGACGATATTTGGGAAAACGTTGCACATTTTCCTATAAGAGATGATGTTATTAACGTTTTTTGTGAGTTAGATGACTTTGACAGGATCATGGCTTACCGTTCTTTTCTTCGTAACCCTTCCATGGATATTGGGCGTCTCCTTCTAGCTGGACCTTTGAAGAAGGAGGAACGCATGCTCTTGCATTTACTCGTATGGATCCTATGTCCCCGGGCAACCAATCATGTCCAATGCTCTTCAATAGATCTTCGCATTATTCATGCAATAATGAATAATGAGCCTCTAGTTGGGGCAGCCTCGTCACCATGACTATGTTGAAAGCCAAATGTCATCCCACCTTCAAAATTCCATATGCCCTCCTTATTTCTTGCATTCTTGAATACAAAGGAGTGAATGTCGAAGTTGAACAAACAATTCGAACGACAAACTTAAACCGCATGCTGGACAGCACATTAACCCAACTCCAAATGGTGCGTGTCAATAATACTTTTGTTCACAAGGATGATGTTCCAAACATAGATGCAGATGATGAAGATATGCCTCCTGCTGCTGAGTTTCCCTCTAATCAGATCCAAAGTGTTGGAACTTCCTCTGCTCATCCTGAAACTCGTCAATCTGTGGAAGACATGTTATCTTATATGAACTAGAGGATGCAGGCATTCTTCACTCTTTCTGGAGTATGGCATGAGGAAATCATTCGTCGTATTTCTGACGTAGATGATAAAGTGTGTCACTTAGAAAATAAATTTGATGCTCACTTTCATAGCGATAGTGAAAAATTTTAATATTACTTAAGGGGGAGATTGTTGAACATACAAGGACTTGATGTTGAACTTACATGGACATGAAGCTTGTTGATTTTGATGATGATTCAAGAACAAAGAACTTAGAGAGTTGAAGACTTGTATTATTGTGTAATAACTCTGTTTTGATGAGTTTGAGTCTGTAATATTAGAGTCTAAGATAGCCGGTACATAGTCTACTCTTTAGAAGCTTCAAAAACTCATATTTATCAAAAAGTCTCGGGTTTAATCGATTAAAAGACCAGATAATCAATTATTACAGTGAGAAAAACCATTTTCTGTATCAGCTCACTGTGATAATCGATTAACACACCTGTTAATCGATTAACAGACCTATTAATCGATTAACAGGGCAAGTAATCGATTAAACCAGTGCGTTTTGGGATTCTGTTGATTTTGGCTCTGTAATAATCGATTAACACTTGAGATAATCGATTATTTCAGTCAGATATGCACTTTGAACTTCAAATTAAACCTATTTTCGAAAACCCTAGTCCCAATACACCAAGTTTCTAAAATCCCCAATTCCAAAACCCTAATTCATCTACTTAAGGTTCTCTAAGGCCCTCAGAAAATTGAACAACCTTTTTCAAACAAAAGTTAAGAGTTGTGATTGCTAGAGAACTGTTTGTTGGAGGAAAAAGGGGCTTTTGGAACCTGGTGTGGGTTAGAAGCGATAAGAATCACTAAGTGGAGTTCTTAATGGATTGTGTGTTGCGTTGTCTCTAGGGAAAGTTGTTCTTCATCTCTTGTGTGACTCAAGAGAGGTGTTTCATTACTTTATCTTTTCCATTGTTATCTGTTTGTAATAACTTTGACTAAAGTGACAGCGTTAATCCTCTGTTTGAGTGATTAGCAACTGGACGTAGGGTCTTTTGATCCGAACCAGTATAAATCTCTTGTGTAAGACTCTATCCTTATCTTATTTACATTTACACAGTATTTTAATCGGTAAATTTTGGGGAAAATTTTTAAAACCTAATTTTTGTTAAGAAACCAATTCACCCCCTCTTGGTTTTTGTCCGTTCACACAAATATTCCGTTGCGCGATTCTAACATATTCTTCTTTTATTCATATATATATATATATATATATATATATATATATATATATATATATATATATATTTTAACTTAAAATCAATTTATATTAGATTATGACCAACTAATATATATAAGTCATACTTAATTAATATAAACAATATGAATCTTTTTTCTTAACATTTGCTTACTAATGATAATTAAGACAAATAATAAAATATCGACTAAGAAAATACATATTAAAATATACGAGACTAAAACATTATATACTATATTATATTTTAAATTAAAATCAATTAACGTTAAACACAATATATAGTGAAAGAGATCAATTACCTAATGTTTATTTTTTTATAATTTAAAAGTATTTAATCCATCCTCTTGAAGATTGCTTTATTAAAAAACAAATAAAGAAAGAAAGAATAAGAAGAAGAAAAAAACGATAGCCTAAACTTTAATCTTAGTTAATTCTTTATCAAACTTGTTCTCTTATATAAATAGGTATCTTAAACTTTCCTGTTTTTATAATAGACACCTAAATAGCTTATTTGATAACACAATAACTAATTATTTGTAAATTATATTTATTTAATAAATCTAGATACAATTAATAGGTTTAAAATGTTCTTATAGAAATTTTATTGTTTTAATTCATTTATAGGTATAATGTTATATTTCAAATCTCATATGTTTAAGATCGTTTTTTTTTCATAAATACTTATAAAAGATATAAAACTAAATTAAAGTATAGTTACTCTTTTGATTCTTATACCTATTTAAACTTTGTGTTTGACTCTACATAAAAATTATAATAAGTTTCCGTTTCTTACTAAACAAAAATCAAAGCATTTTTTTATCATCCAAAAACAAAAACAAAAAGTAACGACAAGATGCACACTGAAAATTTAATCTAATATTATATTTAAAAGAAGGATCATTTTAACATATACAAATTTTAATCCATTATAAAATATCAAAACAATTGTAATTTAATATTGTTATTTCGCCTATAAGAATTATTGAGAATTCTACGTTAAATAAAAATAAAAAATTGAATGATCTGAGAAAGATTTATAATTTAATATTTGATTCACTTACTGATATCTCTTCAAAAATTCAAAAATACCTCGCAAAAATATACAATAAGAATGTGAAATTAATATAAAGTACGAAAATATATTAAATTTACTTTATTGAGAAGTAAAGCTTGTAATTTCCACACACAAAATAAAACGAGAATTTGATGTGTGCGTGTTGTTTTCATTCTTCACTTCCTTGAGCTGCACTCCAACGTCACGAAATTCTTCCCTTTAGCGATCGCTTTGGACTTCAACTAGTGGTTGACGTTAATCTATTGACGTAGCCATATAATTTAATTTATACCTAACGTGCTTAACATAATTCCCATTATTCATCGAATTGATGTTAAGCTACCTGAAAATAACCAATCTCTGTGCTTCTTCAACACAATCAATGCCAAAAAATGCCACCAACAGCATTGTCGTCCCATAATAAAACAACATAAAATTCAAATACTTTCGGTGTGTGTTGTTTCCATTATCTCTTCCTGCAATTCCAACTGCCACGTCTTATGTCGTGTTTTAAATCAAAAAAAAGTTGAAGCTAATTAGCTAAGCATAAAATAAATAAATTTATATGTTATTGTCATTTTATACTTTGTAACTTGTATCAAAAAAATATATAATGACAATAAAAGAAAATATAAGCAAAATTTGATAAATTTTCATCTATTGAAAAACACTTTTGAAAATGATTAGTTTGTGTCGTTACCAATATTGCAGGCGACAATCATCTCTTAATTATTACATTTTTGATCCAGGGAAGTCAAATTTAACTTCAATGCTACCCCACGTATTTCTGGGGTCCATTCTATAACCACAGTTAGTAGCCAAAGAAAAGAATAATATTCTTTTTTTCTTGTAGGAATCTATCATTGTCTATTATTATTAGTATTGTTTTTTTCAAGAGAATGTTAAAAAGGTACTTTATTTTTCCTCCAACAGTTAAAATTATTTTTTATGTAATTAAAAAAATGTTTTAGACAAAAATTCATACATTAAATATTAAAAATTTCTTCACTTTTAATTACCAAATTCAATGAAACAACTACTTATTTATGAATGAAGTTTTATTTTGATTACGGATCACTTCTAAATTTGTCAAAAGGAGATGGAGAGAGTCATGAGGAGGGTTAGGTATTAGAAATGGTGGAAAAATCTTGGAAAACTAATATAAGTTTTAAAATTTAACTGAAAAACTATGGATTTAGTTGTGAATATTTTAAATAAAAAAATACTCAAAATGTAGATTGATGAGTAGAAAAACGAAAATAAGCTCCGAATATTTTAAATTATGTTATGTATGTGAAATTTCTTTTGCCTTTGTATATATATAATATGTTTATGAGGTATATATACGAATGTTTGAATCTATTGAAGTGAGGAATGGTGTTAAAAGAAAATTTGATGTCATGACATGATGAATATTTGGAGAGGTATGGTAATGGGATGTGTTTGGCTTCTTCGATCATTTGTTAATGATCTCTGTCTTTTTATTTTATTCTTGTTGGAGGTCGAAATTGAATCTTTATTTTTTTTTTTATTGAATTTCTGGTTTTTTCACTATTTAACATTTTGTCCTTGTATATTATTTCTAAAAAAATAATTATATATAAATTATAATAAATTAATTTTAATATTATTTTTTATTATTTCTCATAAAATAAATCAATATTTTTAATTTTTAATTTTTAAAAATATTATCATTGATTGAGTATATATTTTAATTTATTATATTAATATATATATATATATATATATATATATATATATATATATAATATTTGATATTTTTGTATACAACATTCTTATTATTATATATTTTAATATTATGTTTGATTTTGATTATTTTTTAGATTTATTATTTTAAAATGTTAATAATATATATATATATATATATATATATATATATAATTTTAAAAAAAATATTTGATAAAATAATTTTTATAAAGATTATACAAAATAATAAAAACTTTAACTATCAATACTTTAAAATTGTTAACCATTTAAAATACAATTATTTAATTAACCTAACAAATTTGATATATATGATAAATAAGAATAATATAATTTAAAAACATAACATAATCTAATAGGATGAATTAAAAATAGAATGATATTAGGTGTTACAAAGATTGATATAATTGGATAAATATAAAGAAGTAAAAAATTAACTTGTATATCTCAAAGTAGTTGAAGAGACTAAAGATATGTGAAGTAAAAAAATGTGAAGAAAGATAAGAGTGTGTTAATTAGGTTAAAAAGATTAAGAAAATATAAAATAATAGAAAGTGAGTAGGAGAAAAGTGAAAATAATTTATAATAAAGAAGAAAAAACATATTTGTACAATGTGAGAAAGAAAGAGATACATTTAATAAAGTATTAATATTTTAGGATTTAATATTAAATATAAAGTCGAGATGACCGTGGTTGAGATTATATTATTTATCCCTCTCGTCATGGTCCTGTATAATAGGAAAACTCGAATATCTACCTAGTTATCTCGATTTTTTTTATCAACGTTAAGGCACTAGCCAGTCAATTCTCGCGGGGATAAGTGTGATTGTCATTCTTAATTCTTATATGAGTGTAGCTAAAATCGATGACGGATCTTCTTGTGAGTTGAGGGGTCGTGACCCCCAAAGTTTTGTAACTTACATCTAATTTTTGATTTTGATCCTCTCAAACTTAATGAACATTTAATATATTTACTTGTATATTTACATTTTTATCCTCTCAGTATCTCCTTAGTTTTATAACTCTCATATAATTTATGATGTTGTTATCTTCAAACTTAATGATCATTTAATATATTTAAATATACATTTACAATTTTATATTTTTATCATTTCATCTTTTTTCTTCCTTTTATATTTATTTATTATTTATTAATAATATATTATTTGATCCCCTAAGATTAATAGTCAATATTCGCTACGGGCTAAAATAAATATTAAGTTGATGAATTTAGTGAGATATTTCAACACTATTAATCATTATATCACATAAATTAAAATATTAGGTGATAAGAGGGAAGAAAAATTCAATTTATTTTATTTGAGTATGTCTTATCACAATGTAAGAGAGTGACTTTTTCACAATAAATTAATTATCAATCTTTATTAATTTAACAAGAACATTTAACTTTTACAATAAAATTAAAAATAAAGTTTTAGTCCATTCCTACGTGATTCAAATTGAGGATTTATTCTAATACGCTTGTAACTACTACGTATTAAAAATGATTTATATAGATCCTTAGTTCTTATCTTCTTATCACGTATTTTATAAATAAAATTTTAAAAAATTATAGTCACTCATACATAAAAAAAAAAAAAAATCTTTTAGACTAAACAAAAGTGTTAATTTTATTACTTGTAAATTTGAATAACGATAAATAATCAACTCTTTTGATTTATATACTTAGCTTTTCCTTCCATTAATAAGATTAAAATAACATATTGATACTAAGAATTTCAAGAAAACCAACAATACATATAAAAATTAATAATTAAAAAAAAGTGTGATACATATAATAAATAAGAATATATTTGAACATATTCGAAAAAAAAGTAATATTAAAAAATCTTTTAATAATAATATAAAAATTATAGACCCACAAAATTTAGTTGATAATAATTTTAATATTAATATTAATATTATTATTATTATTATTATTAAAAAATAAAAGTACTTATCCATTAGATACATATTTTATACTGAATTCATTATCAAACTATCATTCTTCTATAAGTAATTTATATTAAAGATAACATAAATTTACATTTTTTCAAAGAAGTATATTTTTGTGTGCATTAACCAATAAATCTTAAATGACATAATTAATAGGAATATAATACTTAACACATAATCTAACTAAAATATATTGCGTAAATATGATCCAAATTAATTTTCTTATGAGTTAAGTGATAAATTTTATATATTCAAACTAAGATCTAATTCAAACTCATTCCATTAAAAATATTAAAGAATATTAACATTATTAATAATTGGTAGAAACAACATTAAAGCGTTTTTTATCCATATTTTTTACATTATTATTTTTTAATTTTCCTTTGTTTTTTTTAATAATATGTTCTCTCTCAACTCATTAGATTTACATGAGGTTCTTTCTCTCCACATTATAGGTATTACGCTTATTTTTCTCCCCCTCTTTCTATTATTTTCAAATTATATATAATTATTTTGTAGGTGAAATATATTTTTTATATAATAATTATGATAAATTGTGTTTAATATAATTAAAAAAATTATTTAATTTTTATACATTATTAATTACTCTATTAAAATTTTAATTTATACAATTAGAAAAATGTTAATTTTATGTCATATATACATCCTGATGTGTGAATTTAATCATGATTTAATAATATCTTCTTAACACACTAGTGGAAAAATAGCATTCTATGATGAGTTTTTATCACGGTCGAAGTCCACCTTTCATAGTATGTAGTGCGGTGGCAATTTTGTAATAAAATCATAAATTTTTTATGTCGGGTAATAGGTAACCGACATAGAAAGTTCACTTTCTATGTCGGTTAAGTTTTACCCGACATAGAAAGTGAACTTTCCATGTCGGTTAAGTTTTACCCGACATAGAAAGTGAACTTTCTATGTCGGTTAAAATTTACCCGACATAGAAAGTGTATTTGATGACGGGTGTTAGGGCAACCGACATAGTATCTTTTGTTTTACACCTGCCACGGCGCTCCATTTCATCACTTCACCCATAGCAGAGCTCCTCGTTCTCTCTGTCTCTTCTACGAACGTCATCGCCTTTGTACGTTTCTCCCCACCCAGCTCTGCTCGTCACGCCACCTGCCAACTCTGTACGTCGTGCCGCCTGCTGCTACTGTCGTTGGTGCCCGTCGCCTGTGTACGTTTCTCCCCACCCAGCTCTGCACGTCACGCCACCTGCCACCTCTGTAGGTCTTCAAGAGGTAAGTTTTCGTGCTTGCTTTAGCCATTGTAGGTTTACAGTTTTGAATCTGGTATGTAATAATATTGTTAAGAGATGGAAAGATCACGGGTGCCTTTAGCTAATTTAGAGACGTAATTAAGTAGTTTAGTCATTTGAATGTGTTTTTGTAGGCATTCTTTCGTGATTTTGATTTTGAAAATTAGATTTATTATAATGTAGTTATTTCATTTTAAGTAGGCATTCTTTCGTGTTTCTGTAGGCATTCTTTCGTGATTTATTATAATGTAGTTATTTCATTTTAAGTGAAAACTATCATCGCTTATGCTCACCCTAATGTGAGACAATACGATTAGCCTTGATTGGAGTCAGTCATGAAATGATCCATTGTAGGACAGAACTTCCTATTGAAAGATTAAAATATCCAATCACGTGACATCGCAATTTCAGCAAAAGTACATGTTGGATGTTATCATCCTCAAACTATACTTATATGCTGTGTTATATGATAGAAGGTAACAATGGATCGGAGTTGGATCAATTATAGACGAACAACAAATGAATATGAG